TTTATTTTGTATAACTATATCTATCTATCTATCTATCTATCTATCTATCTATCTATCTATTTTCTCCCCATGCTAGGATGTAAGCTCCTTCAAGGAAGTAACTTTTTCTCTTCTGTCTTTATACCTAGAGCACTTGACATAGTGTCTGACACACAGTAGGCACTTGATAAATGCTTATAGATTGGTTGATATACCCCAAGGAGAACAAAGTCAGAAAGGAGGGTCCAATATGCACCAAAATAGTCATTGCAGCACTTGTTGTGGTATCTAGAAAGAAAATAGATTCCCATTGCTTTGGGAATGACTAAACAAATCAGGTTAAATCTGGCCTCAGATACTTGACACTTACTAGCCATGTGACCCTGAGCAAGTCACTTAACCCTGATTGCCTCACCAAAAAGGAAAAAAACAATTAAACAAATTTAAACAAATTTCATGAATACAATAGAATTTTGCTGCATTGTAAGAAATAACAAACACAGAAATATAAGTTGAAGTGGAGTGAACTAAACAACCATAAAAAATATACTCAGTCATTACCACAGTGTACAGAGAGGAACAATAAAATGAAATAGAATGTCAGTCATGGTTGTCCCTAGAGAAGAACTGAGAAAATTCATGTCCCTCTCTTCACTGGGTGGGGGGGTAGGGAGTGGGAGTGGTGGACTATGGCTATGGAGTGTTGCAGCATTCTGAATTGTCATAATCAATCAATGTTGTTGGTTGGTTTGTTTAACTGTTTTCCTTTTCTTTCTTATTCTTTGTTGCAAGGGAAGGCTTACTGAGTAGGGGGTAGGGAAGAAGAATATATTAGAAAATCAATATGTTGTAAAAAAGGGGGGGGCATTAGTTTAAAATTTTAAAATGAATGAATAAATGACTAAACAAATAAATAAATGAGGGAAAAGTGCACTTCACATGGGGTCTAATATTTGAGTACTATCAATCCTAAGTGCTCTGTATCAGTAAAGTGGCTGAGTGATGATAACAACAAAAAGAATGTGAAAGGGTGGTCTGACAGAATAAGAGCATCTGGATGCTATCCACCATGAGGTGGAGGAGGAGGATGGAAGGGTAGCCAGGAAATAAGGATATTCTCTGAGAAGCCAATAAAGGCTGGGATGGTTAAGGTGGGAGCCTGAAGGTTTGGCTTTTGCTCTGACCTTATGCAATAGGCTCTTCTGCCCAGTTTGGGTCTCCTGATTCTGACCTGTTCAGATAAGAAGGTGCCACTACTTAGTCTATCCCACCAGGAGGGACTCCTGGCCCTACAATCTCAAGGTAAGAGGAACAATAGGGACCCCAAGGCCCTGGGGGAGGTTCCACTCCAAGGAGAGGGAACTATAGATCTTGATAAGGGCTCAGCCAGCCCTAGGGTTTTTTATACTCTGTCATCCAACTCCACCTCACATTGATTCTCTTTTTCTCTTACTGGACATGTGTTCACTTGTTCTCTGCAGCTGGCTATACACTCTGTGTGTGTGTGTGTGTGTGTGTGTGTGTGTGTGTGTGTGTGTTTGTGTGTCTAATCCACTGCTCATTCTCACACGCTCTCCCTCCTCTCACTCTCATAGTTAATCAGCTGTGTAAAGTGCTGCCGCGGCTGCTGCTGATGGATAAGAAAGGGGGGAGACACTGGACACCCATACCCCACTTTCTCTTTGTTTTCTCCCCTTGAGCCCTATCCCCCTTCTTCTTGCCATCCCCTCATCCAGATATGCAGATTGCCCTTCCCGCTCACTCCTCTCCCCTCCTGAGATAAAGGAGATAGGTAGAGGAGGAAAGACACCTAATCTCAGTTGAGGCAGCTGGGAGGAGAGATAAGGCACGAGTCAAATCCCTCAGGAGAAGCCACGGCTAATGGTGAAGAACAAGGAGACCCAGCCCTCCCACTCTCACTATATTTCACTGTCCTCTGACAGATACTCTGAAGCCCAGTTATCTGTGAGGCAAGGTAGGGAATTTGCTGCAGTTTAGCTGAGGCTCCATTCATCCTCCAGACTTTTTCTCTCAATCTCTGTCCTACTCCACCAGACTTTCCAGAACAGGTTTCCCTTTTTCCTGGCTGGGAATCTCTTCCCCACCCTCTGGGCCAAAACTTGCCCTGGGCCTCTTCCAAAACAGATGTCCCTCAACTTAGTGCAGATATTATCGAATATCACAGGTTAGAGTATGTGTGGCATCCCATCAGGTGAGGGCTCCCTCTGAGTGTGTTCAGTGTTTAGCTTCCCTAGCCTGATAACTGTAACTAACTGGAAGAATTCAGGTTCTCTGACAGGGAAGGACCTATAACTATCCTGTGAACCCATTAGCTGAATGAACTGCTCCTTCGTGACAGAACTGGCCTGGCTCCTCCGCTATACTGGAGTCACTGTGGCAAAGAATAATTTCTATTCAGAATGTATATGTATAGCCCATATCAGATTGCGTGCCATCTTGGAGAGGGAGGTAAGGAGGGAGGGGGAGAAAAATTTAAAACTCAAAAGCTTATGGAAGTGATTGTTGATAAATCAAAATAAATTAATAAAAAAAATTCAAATGGGAAAAAAGAATAACTTCTATTCCTCGTATGGAGCAGGACTAGAGTACAAGAGGGGCCATGGGTACAGGTACAGGATGGAGATGGAAAAGGCTCAGGAGAAACCCTGCTTACAGAGAGAATTGGACTCTTGGAGAAAGCTGGAAAGGGGGCCAGGGGCAATGGGAGATGGACAGAATACTGGCCTGTGAGACACAAGACCCGGCTGTATACTAACTCTGTTCTCTTGGTCTAATTCCTGGATTAGTTTTCCACTCTATAAAATAAGGGCATTGAACTGATTGGTGGCCAAGGTCTCTTAGAGTTCTGAAATTCTGTGATTCAGGGATTCATAGTAGTAGATAGCAAGAATAAACACTGTAGGGCAAGCTAAGCTGCTTTCCATAAGTGGAGAACTGGTCTGGGGTTTGAGGGGCTCTTAGTACACAAGCAATATCCTAATTATCAATATACTAATATACATTGTTTAACCGCAGTATGGATTCCAGGATTCACTCCAGAAGGGACCCGTGCTGCAAGGGGCACTCAGCTGTGTCTAGAAAAGCTGCCACTGGAGAATATCTTTAAGGTAAAATTAGACACTCTGACCTCCCTCCCTCTTTCTCTCCCTCCATTTCTGTCTCTCCTCCTCCCCTCCCTCTTCCTCTCTCTCTCTCTCTCTCTCTCTCTCTCTCTCTCTCTCTCTCT